TTGTTATTGATATTTCTTAATAAGTTCACTAATTATTATTTTATTTGATTTGTGACCAAGACATAATAATAACATGATGTGGAGATGGAGAAGAATGGTTGAGGAACAACAATTTTAAAGCGATTCAATTTTGTGCCTCCATGAAAGCTTTTGAGAACCAAAGTGGAAAAGGCTTTGCGTTGATATATTTCAAAACGTAAGTTAATTTTTAAGCTTACGTGACCAAAGAGCCATTTGTGGCGATAAAATGTAAGGTGACCTAATATGCTCTTATGAAAATTTTGTGAGAAAATGAGTTTCTTTATGAACTCAATTATTTGAGGAATGTGAAAATCACATATTTGAAATGCTGCTAATGTGGGGGATTGTGATGTCCCTATGTATTATTATTGGTGATGAGACCAATGATGCCTAATTAAGATTTTGCATAGCATTCCTATTATACAATAAAGTGTAATGGTGCTTAAGAAAGCAAATGTGATATGCACTCCTATTATACAATAAAGTATAATGGTGCTTAACAAAATAAATGTGATATGCACTCCAATTATACGATTATGGTATAATGGTGTATGATGGAAAAATAATAATAGGAAAAATAATAATAATAATAATAAGGCATTTGAAAAAAGGGGTATGTGATAGACATTCTTATTGTACAATAAGGTACAATGGTGTTTGAGTTAAAAAAAATTCTTAAATACGTGTCTCTACATGTATGGGAAAAAAAAAAGGGTGGTTCACTAGCTCAATTTGATATCAAAATTGTGGTACCATGAATTGAGAATTTGAGAAATATGAATGTGAATTTTATGAGCTGGTAGACATGTGGGTTGATGTGAAAAGAAAAGGTGAGAAAAAGAATGAGTTAAATCTTTTATTACCCACTATACCACAATTAGGCCTTTTGAAAAAACAAGAGTTGGAGGAAAAACTATGATCATAGTCCAAGGTCTAGTGCTCATTGAGGGGAATGGAATTCAAACCCAATACTATAGATCTTCCTATGAGGATACCCAAATCGAATTCTAAGAATTGGGTTTTGAATGAGAAAAATGAATCATAGAGAAGTCATTGTTGAAAGATGCATCAATATTTAATGGAAAAATTTCCAGTCCCATTCCTAAGGTGAGGATGCATCTATCCCATAATGAATTGAGGGTTGAGTTATATACTATTAATGAAATTTGTAGCTCATAGAGTAGGGTGTCTTAGTTATAGGAGCACCTTTGACAAATTTCACCTGTATGGGTGTTGAAGTGAGGTTGCTTCTATGAAAATTGGATGCACAATTTTCTAGATCATTCATGAAAACCGAGATCATGCACAAGGCCATAACGCGCCAGTTATGTGAAAAACTCAACATTCAGATCATTATGTGTGTGATACAATTCTTGTATCTTCCAATGGAATCATAGTTCAAGACTTAGTTCACCATTGACTTTGGATTAAGAATTGTTGACTCACTAAGTATAGGTTCAAGGCTTAGTTACCTTTATTATGCATAATAATCCATCTTTGCCAAAAGAAAGGTTCATTTTTTATTAAAATAGTAGGAGAATTGTTGGAACTTAAATATTTTAATCAAAAATAAAATAATATATTTTAGAACTTAAATTTATTATCCTATTAAAGACTTGCTCAAATTAGCCATTGTAGGTTAATTACTCTACTTAAGGGCACATTATTACATAATAATTGCCCAATTTATTTCGATCATTAATCTACAAATGAGAGTTACAATACTATAAGTCCTATAAATAGGACATGTTATTTTGCTCAAAAAAGAAAGTTCCTCCCCATTCTTCTATTTTCTCACCTTACTTTATCTTCCAAATACTTTTGGGTAAAGAATAGTGTTTCGAGTTAAGTGACTCTATGAATAGTGTAGATTCATAGAGTGTTATTATAAAGCTGTAGCATCTTGGGGGCGACATGCTTTATGTATCTCTGCTGCACTAGTTGATCCACTCTTCGCGGAGACGTGAATCACCTTTAAGTAA